TAGCAGAGTGCATGTTCTCTTAGATGGCTTAGAAATGCTTCTCATTAACCATTTTGGATGCTTGATTCAGTAACTTGTAGACTCAGTCTTTTTACTCCCAAGGACTAATACAGCTTGAGATTAAAGTAAAGGCCTTATTCTGGGATGCACCAAGTATTTGCAAATCATTAATTTCAGAGCAGTTTGCAGATGCTCAGTTACTCTGAGAAATGTGGGCAGAGTGCTGCTGAAGAATGGAATAAATTAATTTTTCTTATCAGATGTAACACTATGTTAAGCTTTATTGTAATAATAAACTACTGTAACTAATGAGACTGCAAAACTGTGACTCAAGCAGTGGTATCTGTACAGGGAGAAAGTTGATTCTGGATGAGATACTAGAGGTCAATTAATTTCATCTTCCTTTAGAGAAACTGGAGATGACCTACATTTTTTTTTATTTAGTTCTTATCTTCCTTTCCCACACTTGGGCTAATGATAAGCTGTGTTTCTTTTAGAGCCACATTTTAAACATGCCTGGCTTTGGTTGGGTTTTTTTCCTATGCAACTTCGGAATTGTTTCTGTTCTGTAAACTTTTTATGTGTCTTCTCTTCCTCTGATTTTGGAGATAATTGCCTTTATTTAGTCTTTGTAAGGGTGGGAAGTGTACGTTAGGAATAATTTGCTGTGCCAAGCTTTACACAACTGATTGTCTGGAAGAAATTTTGCAAGGCAATGTTAGCATGCAGTCCGAGTGTGTTTCTTCTAATGAAAATGCATGCTTTGCCTCAGGGACATTTGAGCAGAAATCTGTTCATACAAATGCAGCAGAATTTGAATTTGTACCATGTCTTCTCACAAACTGAAACCCATAAGGCTTCACAGAATCAAATGATATATTAACAAGATTGAGGTAAATGTGTAACTGATGAGAGCAACAGCAAAAAAGCAAGTAATTCCACAAGCAATGGAACTTACAAATACTGGTTTCCAAGAATTTGTGTGTTGTGGTTTGATTCTCAGATGTCTTACAAGTTGCAAGCTCTGATCAAAGCCTTTTCTGCGTCTGTAATGTTCATAACATCTTTCTATGATACAAATTTGTTGAGTACATATACACTCCATTTCAGCAATTTTCTGCGTAGATCATGAGTAGGATCTTTTTCTTCTACCCATCCTGCAGTTTTCATGAAATTCTCTGTAACTTCGTAATGATAATAACTCTGTTCTGTAAAATGTATTGAAGTTGGGTAGGGGGTTCATAGTTGTTCCTGAAAGATGGAGAGACAGACAGATAAACAGCTGAAACTGACTGTATTAAAAGCAAAAATAAACATATTCAGACATGAGGGTTGCATAAGCCTCCTTTCACAGAACCAAGCTAACAGTTCTATCAGGTGAGATTTATGATGAACTACTACACAGGCACTGTTTTCCAAAGCACAGGAGCTGGCTAGGTCAGATCTGAAGCACAGAGTTTCATATGTAAATAAATAAATACCAACGTAAATATAAGTGAGAACCGATGTATGCTGTATCTTTGAAGCAAATAAGTATAAAATATACCGAAGTGGAAATGTTTAGTGAGGGAGTTTGAAAAAAATGCATATTGAAAAAAAGGAGAATAACTGGATTCTAAAATTAAAGAAAACTGCAAAGTGTTTGAAGTTGAGATGCGAGACTGTATATGAGGAAACAGTCAATGAAATTTTTCACTGACTGGACTGAAAAGAGTTGGGAATTGTGAAGTCCACAAAAAAGCTGATTGTGATAGTTAAATGGATTTTGATTGTGGTGAACAGATGTTACAAAAAGTGTAAGAAATTAATCTGAAACCTGTGGAATAGAGATCCTGTCAGCTGCAGAGAAAAGCTAGGCTTGGTTCAGCTGAGAGGAATGCAAACAGCAGACATAACAACATCCATAAAATAAGAGGAGGATGGAAGGATACTTGTGCAGAGCTGTTCCAATGTAAAAGAGAAAGCAACTTCTGTGCAAGAGCAGAGGAAAATACCAACTAAACCTACACTGGTTTTGATGCACAAAGAGAAATGCCAGAGCACCTTTGTGCAGAACTTGGCAGGAAAAGGAAAGGTTAAATTTAAATATGGCTGAATTTCAGAATTGTGGGAGACTTTGGAAAGGTAGCTTCTCAGGATTGAGGGTAGACACAATACTAGGAGGAATATTTACCATTATCACTGGGAAGAATAGGAGAGAATTTAAAAAGTACTTTAGTTACGGAAGGTTTCCCCCTCACCATAATTGCCACATCATAACACCCTTTGTCGCTATGATCAGTTTGCGAGTGGGAGCAGCAGCTGCCAGTGAAAATACAAAAGAACATGCATGTCAAAAAAGAGTCTGAGACCTCCCGAGACCTCACCTGTCACTGTTATTTAGGCTCTGTCTGTCCTTCCACTGGCTGGAGGAGATGGAATGAGGATCACCAATTAGTTTTTGCAAGCTTTGATCCCTAAGTAAGCTTCCAAAAATAATTCTAAAGCATTCTAAAAAACACCCCTCACATCTGTTAGGTACGTCACCACCTTTTTTTCTTTCATTAAAAAGTTTTGTATTTTATAATGCTGCTGCTAAGGTCAGTTGGCTCTTTGGGGAATAGGAAGATGTTTTTTCCATCTAGGCTGCACTGGCTTGAAGTATGCTTTGTGTGTGCATGTGCATATACCTGTGCCACATAATAGAGTCAACTGTTGGTTTGAAAGCAATAGATGTTTGAAGTGTTAATGCTGGAAGGAAAACTGTTAGCTTTTCATGACTTGTGGTTGCTATCAGTGCTGGCAAAGCCTAAAAATGGTCTGTCTCAGGGTCTGAAACTTTTTGCAGTAGATGTTGGGGGTTTTTTCCGTAGAAGTTAAGAGTCCTAAAGTTCCTGTCCTGGATTGTCTCTGCTGCTCACTGTCTTATGTAGACAGGTAGAAAAGATTGTCTCTGAACAATCAGATTATTGATTTGCTGGTATAGTATGAATTTTTTTGTTCCTCTAACTGTCAAATAAATAGCAAAGAAGGGAATGCGCACAAAGCTTTTCCCTGCCTTGAAATAAAGAAGGAGCAACTTACAACTGAAATTCATTCCTCTTGTCTGTTTTCTGTTTACCTTTATCATCTGCTCAATACATTCTGTCAAAGGAGCAGCGAAGGTGTCAGGATGTGAAGACTTAGTAATTCAACCTTCTCAAAGGAAAGCATTGTTACTCATTTACTATGATTTTTGATACAGTTTGAGGATGAAATGTTTTGAATAAAATTCAGCCAAGTCTCATTCAATACCATGCTTTTGGGCACTTCTACAGAGCACTGTCAGAAGACTGTATTTAGGTTTATAACATATGAACATAAATTTGTATGTATTTATACAAGCATATATGTCACAGAGACAAAAGCACACAAAAAATACATAAACCAATTTAAAGAACTTTTTTTTTTAATATACTTTAGAAGATTTGTGTGAATGTAAACATTTGGGAAACTTGTGCAGCAGAAGTCACTGTAGGCACTAGCATTTTGACCTCCTAAATAAAAATATGCAGGATTATATCTTTCACTTGAAATGTAACGGATGTTTAAAAATTTGTGGAATTTTAATTACTGCTTCTTAGCCTGGCACAATAGATGCTATAAATTTCCTAGCAGATTTGTGCATGAGGCATGTTATATATGACACCATGCTATTTAATTCCACTATTTAATGGAAGGCTACCTATTAAAAATTTTTATAGCCAAACAAGGAATCTCTTGCCATGTAACCATAATGGATGGAAATAATAAGTAAATCACCAGTTTACATGTATGCAAGCAATATTTTCTATATATTATTCATAGCATTTGTATGGTTAACAATTCTAATAAACTATCAAACCCCATTCAAATCTTTGAATGTTGTGAGAGTAAGACAAAGAACTCTGTAAGCATAAGGCACAAAATATCCTCGTGCACATCCAGCTGTTATGGACTTCTGCCGTTCTGCATTCACTATGACTATAACCTCATGTTCACAATGTGTAAGTAGCATTGTGCATAGTTGCTGTGATAATAACCATATTCTCAGAACTCTTTGGACAGCTTTAATAATGTTTCACTGTGTTCCTCTGACTCTCATTTCGACTTCAATTTAATGCAGCTATAGTCTAAATAGATTAATAGGTTCACGTAGTTTAAGATTTAACACGGCAGGTTAATTAAAAACACATTGTAATGTGCCCCTCTGTGGATGTCTTTCATTCTTTTTGCTGATATATATTATGTTTATTATGTTTATTTTGTACAGAGCATTAGAATAAAGAACACAGTATAGTACCGTATTATTAATACCCCTCTTTTTTTGGTATTAATCTGTGCTTAAGTGCCAAATGTTGATGCTACTTTAAATGATCTCTTCCTATTTTTGAGTACTGAAGTGCTACAAATGCAAACTGACCAGCTAATGTCCTGACTCACTGTAACATAAGTAAATAAAATACTGGTGTGGACCAAAATGTTTTCCAACATAAACCTGAAAAACAACAACAACAACAGCAACATGCAAAACATACTGATGCGTGGAATATATCCACCACACAACTAAAAGTTAAAAGACAAATGGCCGGAGATAAAATATAGTCATGGACAGATTCCATTTTGATATCTTCTGAAAAATTCCAGAGTGATTAATTCTAGGTGACAATCAGGTAAAAAGATTGTATTGTACCAGTCACAGACATTGGACGGTTCCTGCTTGGTTGAGAATAGCCAACCACCTGGGTAGTTCAAGTCATTTTTTGGTGTCATAATAACATCAATATCATTTTCAGAGACAGAATTACCATCTGGTGGGTCTCAGTTGACAGAACGTCACAGTTATAATCAGTCAATCTACTCAGTCACCTCTAGAATTAGGTACAAGGGTGCACATGTCTGAATTGATTATGGAACAGTCACTGGGCTTCCTGTTGAAATAGCTTTGTTGTGACTTTTTTTTTTCCTGTTTGATTCTGAAGTGGTATCAGAGTCCTTAATTCTCAGTTTATGCTGTCTTTATGGCTGCTTCGATCTGTATTGTGATTGTTTAGTTCTTGATTCTTCCACTGGATGCTTGTTCCATTCATGGGCACCGAAGTCACTAGACTCTTAGATTGGGAGCAGCAACAGCAAAGACATGACTGGAAATAAAATAAATAAATAAAGGTTAACACAACTCTATCAACTCTATGCAGATTGTCAGCCATATTTTTCATTCAGAAAGGAACAGACTCTAGATGAAAGGAGCTATAGCTGCATGCAGGCAAAATTTTACCCTAGGATGCAAACAATTCTTGTGATTAAACATCACAAAGACAGCAAATTAGGCCCAGCCTGTGCTTCTTATTTAAGAAAAAAATTCACAGTATCAAAAGGGAAATTTGTTTGACTAAGGTAAATAGATTAAGAACTGACAGAACTCAATACATCATTAAGAGTTGGGTTGGGTTTTTTTCCCCTCTTTATCACTGCACTTCAAACTTAGGGATCAGCATGCTGCTTAGCATATAAGAGAAAAGAAAATTCCCCAGCCCGTGACATAGGTCTCTTCTCACATCTTAGAAGAATACAAAATTTAGGAAAAGGGACAGTGAATATATTGAGGTGTATCATTTTTCATGGTTAAGTATAGAATGTCATTCAGGATCATACTCCCAGGTTCTTCACAGGCTGGTATGTTCAGTTGTCTCTTCTGGAAGGAGCAGAAAGGATTCCTCAGCTATCCTCCCCTACCTTCACAAAAACTAGTGTCTAATTCTATATAGATGGAATCTCTGCTTTAGGGG